TTTCAGCTTTCCACCCGCTTAACTTACTATGCACTTTGTCAACAACAGGTTGGTAAGTTCTATGGGTAACTCTTTCATGAAGCAAAGGTACCCCTAAATATTTGCCAAGATTGGTAGTAAGAGGAAAGCCTCCCATGGTGCTGATAAGTGTCATTTCATGTCAAGGGACGTTCTTCGAACAAAAGAGCTTGGACTTAGTATTACTAACCTTTTGACCCGAAGCATTGCAGAAAGAATCCAAGCACCATTTGATAACCAGCATTTGTTGAGGAGAGGCTTCCGCAAAAAGAAGGAGATCGTCCGCAAACATTAAGTGCGAGATTACAGGGCATCCTGGACGGGTACGAAACGGCTTCCATTCTCCCTTCTCAACCAACTCCATGATTAAATGAGAAAGTCGTTCCATACAAAGGATAAATAAGAAAGGCGAAAGTGGGTCCCCTTGTCTTAGGCCCCTTGTAGCCTTAAACACTTCAGTTAGTTCCTCGTTCCAAAGCAGTTGCATATTGCTAGTTGTAACACACCGCATAATAAGATTCAACAATGATTCAGGGATACCAGCCAACTGAAGAGTCTCGCGAATGAAATCCCAATTTAGTCGATCATACGCCTTCTCTAAATCTATCTTAACTAGCATGTAACCCCTCTTTCCCCTTCTCTTGCGCATTGAATGAATGATTTCCTGAGCAATGATAATGTTATCTTGAATGTAGCGACCTGGAACAAAGCTCACTTGATTGGGTGAAGTCAGAAGTGGCATTACTTCCTTCAATCGGTTGACAATAATCTTAGTGATTATTTTGTAAGAAACATTGCAGGGGCTGATGGGTCGGAAATGCACCAATCTATCATGATTATCAACTTTAGGGATCAAGGTGATAAGTGTCTGGTTGACGCCATCCAGGTTTCCATCCCGGAGCCATAGTTTCTCAATTTCAAGATTTACCGAGTTGCTCACTGTTGCCCATTGGTTCTGATAAAAAATTGCCTGAAATCCATCTGGTCCTGGTGCTTTAAACGGTCCCATTCCAAACAATGCATTCTGAATTTCCTCTCTACTAAGATGTTTTGAAAGCCTCTGAATCTCATCTTGGGAAACACGGTTGAATCGATCAGGCCAATTCACCGTGGAAGTGCGTGAACATTCTTCTGTGTATCCCACTTTAAGTCCTCATCGAGGGTGCAACTGCGCCGCCATGCTCCAGTAATGGGCCACGGTCACCTGAATCGTCTGAACACCCAAAATACTCCTTTTAACCAAACATTCTTTATGCCTTTGAATTTCATTTCCAGAAGTTCACAGAGAATCTCAACATGATTAAGATGAAGTCTCCACGTTATCTCTTTCTTGTTCGGTTGACAACGTCATGGGTTGTGCCTTCCCATCCCGAGCTCCCTGCCGCCAAAAAAGCTAAAACCTTCCCAGATTGTCTGGTTTTAGTCCACGTCCTTGGTATGATCATGTTTGAATGGGTTGGAAGGTAAATTCATGTTAAATAGCATCTAGTCAATCTTCCTTTTCTGTGCGTCCAGCCAGCCGCGCACACAGGCGTACTCTCTCTCTCTCTCTCTCTCTCTCTCTCTCTCTCTCTCTCTCTCTCTCTCTCTCTCTCTCTCTCTCTCTCTCTCTCTCTCTCTCTCTCTCTCTCTCATGGTTCCTTTGATCATTGCAGTTGTCTCCCTCACTTCAGCTTCTCGAGAAATTGGGGCAGGCACGGATACTCCGATCCCATTAAGTGGAAGACCGAGTAAAACCACCACAGAGCTGTACAGGAGTTGTATCAAGCTAACAGGGTACATTTTGGAATCACTGCTCCTTTCTTTCCTCCGTTTACGAGATGTAATGTTGCATACTAAGTGCTATAAATGTGTAACTGCTGTGATACCTGAGTATACTGGGAACACTCTTTCTTTTCTTTTTTTCTGGCAGAGTTTAGATGACGAGTTCGTTCCTTGATTGCTTAACTGATTGGTAGCATGGAGGTCATTATCTCCTTCCTTTTCCACAACAAAATTGCTGATTTGCTTGGAATTTTTACTTGTTAATCGACCAAATCAGGGAGGCTGGTGTTTGTTGACAATTAAGTTCAACTACAAAGTATTGTTCTTCATGTTTTTCCATCGAAATTTAAGATATCATCAAAATTTCAAAATCGGTGTAAAATCTATGTGAACTTACGAGCGAATACAAATCTAGTGACCCATACCCTATTCGTTTCATGTCTAATCCATACTTGACCTGGCTCATGTTGCTAAATTTTTTTTATATTTAATCCAATCTAGGAAAAATTCATACTCAAATTGACGTGAGAGCATGGAGTGAGCAAGCGTGAGATCGAGTGAGGGCAAGAAAGAGCCATGGAGGTGGGTTGGGTTTATATAAGCTGTGAACCCATTTAGTACACTTATTATATTGAGCTTCACTATTCTAAATCAATTTACTAAATATAACCAATTCACATAATAACTCAGCTTATCAAATATGAATTAAGAAATGAGTTCTCGACCTATTTTGACAAGCCTACATGCACGCGTCTCGAGATTTCATTTAAGTAAAAAGGTGAGAAACGTCAAAAGTTTATTCGAAAACGTCGATCTCATTTTCATCTAAAGGTTAAAAAAGAGAAAGAAAGAAAGAAAGAAAGAAATCCAACTTGGGTGGGCCGACATTATTTTACTGAAGAAAAGGAGTTTCTCACTTTGGGATAGGATAAGGATGTTCCCATTATGGCCACGGTGGGTGATTGGTACATGAGTTCCGCTTCCTCGTTTTCCATTAACTGTCAGCCACCAATTGAAACCTCTGCTGACTCCCCCTTCCCCTCTCCCCCCAAGAAAGGGTGCTTTGCTTTCATCCCCAGTGGTCCTCAGTTCACTTTCCATTTGGACCACTCCTTTGTCCCCCCCCACATCCCGTACTTTAGATAATGTTAACGGGTGTCTCTTTCTGATCCGAAAAATGATCTGTGAATTCGGAAATTCGAATTTTCTCGACTTATTTGTCTTATAATTATCTCCGGACTGAATCGTTTGAGCTGCGTCTAGTAGTCCGGATATACCGATTCATTATCTCATTCCGGTGTTTCGAGATGTCGCGTGGGTTCTAACCACAGGGGTGTGCAAAACGGACCGTCCGGACTGGATCGGATCGGCCGGTTTGATCTGTTCTCGAGAGTGTCGGTCCGGTTCCCGATTCCTAAAAGTGGAACCGGTGTCCGGGTGGTCCGGTTTCCGATTTCAAGAGGGAACTGGACTGGACCATCTACATATATATTTTAATTTTTTTAAAAAAAATAGTAAAATGTGAATTGAACCCTTAGTGAACTTCATCGACAAAAATTCATAGATAAAAATTAGTAAAATATGAACTAAACCCTAAATGACCGGTTCCCAATTTTAAGAGCCGGTTCGAACTCACGAGAATGCCTATTAAAGCACGTGCGGGATTCTAACTCGGAGCAGAAACCGAATGTAAAAGGATTAGGGGACAAGGTGGGATGTGGAGCGGTGGGTCCCAGTCCTCGTCAGCGCTTAGTCAGATCCTAATCCTATCCACTGCACTCTCTTCTTCTTTTTTCCTCCTTTTTTCTTCTTTTTTCAGTTTTTTGGCGCCCCGAAAATATCTTCCTCCAGCTTTTTTTTTTTCACATGGGGGGAGGGGGGAGCCTCGGGACCTCCAAAAAAGCGAACGTGGTCCAACCGCCGCAGAAATCCAGATAAACATAAAATCTACTTCTAGATTATTATTCGACTTAGCAAATATATCGGCTATATAGATAAGGCAAACCAAATTCAGATAATGCATTGGATCCGGTCCGGTCCGAAGTTACATGCCTTATCCCTTTTGACAACGACATGGACATAGATGCCTCGGTTAACTTGTGCCATCTCTCTCAACCTATTATTATCTCTAGAACCATTTTATTCATTCCATGATAAAAAAATTAAAAAATAAAGAAAAAAGGCAAAATTGTTTCCTCTCGAAACGAGCCGTGGTTTTGGCGAGACCAACATTGCCAGAGGGGGAAGGATTAACACAACTCGATAGCCGGCAACGACGACGAAGCGACTTTGGCCCCTTTGAGTTTTCGAGATTGCTTTAACCGAATTTACATGAAATTACTGAATAGAAAACATCCCTAGAGAAATTAAAGAGAGTCGCTAATCTCTGTTCCCGAATGTCTCCATGGAGTCCATCATATCCTAGCTCCTCTTGCAATATCGAGAACAAACACAATCAATGGAGCGAATAAATCGAAATTAAAATGAAGGGAGAAAAATGTCATAGTACAAAAAAAAGTATTAAGTTTGCCGAATGTCCTAAAACTCGTCATGAAAATAAAATTAAGTCCTAAAACTTTTCAAAAAATTACAGTCAAGTCCTAAAAACTTGTCACGAAAGGGCAATCGAATCATAAAACTTTCAAAAAAAGCTGCAATCGACAGAAGGACTTGATTGAACCAATTCGACAAGTTTTAAGAAATTAACTGCACTTTCATGACAAGTTTTAAGATTCAATTGCACTTTTTGAAAGTTACAAATTTTAAGATTTTCAACCCAATTATCCAACCAAAAAAAAAAAACCAGGTCCCCCCTCCTTGACAAAAGCACCCGTCGTCTCGAAAATGCCCTCGACGGTTATCCGTTAATCCATGGGGAAGCGCCCCGCCCTCCCCAAAGCGACGTGACCCTTATCGTCAAGTCCACGTGCTCTGTTGTCCCCTTCTCTCCCGCCATCCGACTCCGAACCAACGGGCTCTCTCTATAAAGAAAACCGCCGGCGCCGCGTGGGGAAAGGAGACGTAAAGAGAAACAGGAGGAAATCCGCTGTTTTCACTTCGCACAAAAATCGAGAGGCCTTGCCTCCTCCTCTCCCCGTTGCTCAATATAGCTTGATCGTTCAAAGCGCGATCTTTTCTCAGGTGGGTCTATCTGATTTCGAGCAAATCTCGCGCCATTGATTGATTACCGGTTAGAGTTCGAGGTGTCGAGGTGTCCCCGCGTCAGCCTTTCCCTCCGTTATTGGTAAGGAGAATGACAGGAGCTAGGCGTGCGGGGTGGCGCATAAATTTTCCTCCTTTCTTTGCTCGCTTTTGCATTGACCATCGTTTGATTGTTTCTGGGTCTGTGCGTGTCTGTTGAAAGATTTCGGTCGTTAGTCGCAGTTGGGTCTCTCTCTCTCTTCCTCTGGCTTCTCCCCTGCATCCGTCTTTGATCTCTGCCGTTCTCTTCTTCTGTTGGGGTGGGGGTTTCTGCTTCTGATCGCGTCTGCTGCGGATGTGGTTGCGGTTGATGCAGATTGAATATCGAGATTTGACGGGAAATGGAGGGCGGAAGAGCGGTGGATCTTGGATGTGGGGATTACGGGTTGGTATAATAGTAACTTGTTTACGAATTTGGGTATTGATTGTGATGAGAAGTTTTGTTTTTATTGGAGTTTTTGTGTAATTTTTTTTCGATGGCTAGGTGTGCGCATTATAGGAGAAGATGCAAGATAAGAGCACCGTGTTGCGACGAGGTCTTTGATTGCAGGCACTGTCATAATGAAGCGAAGGTATAGAAATGCGGAGAAACTAACCTATGCTTTTTGTTCATGGTTCATTGTCGTGCGAAATAGTCAATGATTGACGCCCTCGGATCTTCTTCAATGTCGTGCAGAATTCGCTCGAAACTGCACCTCTAAAACGGCACGATGTTCCGCGACACGAAGTGAAACAGGTATGCACGATTGTCCAGTATACATTCTTAGTGAAGAGGTTGATTTGTTTTGTCCTTGTTTCTCCTGGGGGATCTGGCTCTTGGTAAGGCCTGGAGGGATTTTCCCATTTGCATTTTCAGTTACTGTGAATGAAATGAGGGCAGGATAGTTTGACAGCAGTTAAAGACAGCCAATCGTATCGGGTTAGATTGAGATTGATTGCGAATAATGTCTTTTGCCCTGCTGAGTCATATCCGTAGTTGTCTGATGCACAATCTCCCGTTCTTGCATTGGATCAAATAGACCGTAATGAAATGCTTCTGCTTCATTGATGGTTTATTTCCAATAAATCTATAATTGTCTACTTGTTCTGCTTTCTCATAGTGCTTTTGTCTCCTTGGCCTTTCAGGTCATCTGTTCTTTGTGTGGCACCGAACAAGAAGTAAGCTGTGAATTTTCAAAAACTGAAAGATATGTAAACGAAAAGCGTGTACAACGGTACTTACCTAAATGTTCAATATGCCAGGTTCAACAGAACTGCCAGAATTGTGGGGTTTGCATGGGCAAGTATTTCTGCGCCAAGTGCAAGTTCTTCGATGATGATGTAATTATTGTTCTCTCGATTTTTCCTTCAGTTCTTTCCCAGTCTCCACCACATAATTGCATCAGCTTATCTTATGGTGGCTAAACATTCTCAGGTTTCAAAGAATCAATACCATTGTGACGAATGCGGTATCTGCAGGTAAATTAACAAACCAATATCGCTCACATTTGCATTTCCAGGCTCTTGACTAGTTCTGTGACGCTGTCGTTCTGTCATTATTGTTTTATAAGTAACCTTTTTTATGTGTCAATTTTCACCATCACGCACACTTATATATCATAAATTTCATCATTATATTCAATCCTCAATCCATCTGTTGCTTCTACAGAACTGGAGGCAAGGAGAATTACTTCCATTGTGAGAAATGTGGTGAGTGAAAATGAACAAACAGACTCCTCTGAAAACTATGTTTTTGGTTTTTTTTCCCTCTGTTTTTTGTAGCACTCGCCAGATTCTAGTTTGATCGTGAAAGACTTACTTCTGATATGCTTGGAACATTTGCTGTAGGATGTTGCTATTCGAAGTTAATGAGGGATGCCCATCGCTGTGTCGAAAGGGCAATGCACCACAATTGCCCTGTATGCTTCGAGGTAAGATACGGAGCGGAAATTCTACATAGATGATGTCAGTCAAATTTCAAATCGCTAAATTTTCTGCATTTATCCGCAGTACCTGTTCGACACAATGAAAGATATAACTGTCCTGCCTTGTGGACACACCATACATTTGGAATGCGTCAAGGAAATGGAACATCACTTCAGGTTGGTTCCATATGTCTCGATCACTCGCAGTGCCTTGCAGTCGACTAAATATTAGTTTACCTCGAGATTTACATCGAAATCATTCTTGGATTCGGCAGGTACTCATGCCCTGTTTGCTCAAAGTCGATCTGCGACATGTCTAGTTTGTGGAGAAGACTCGATCAAGAGGTACTAATTTGAACGAAATCTCTGTTTTTTCTTCTTCTTTTTCAATAGAATTTGCTTGCAGCTAACGAAGCTGTGCTCTGTCACCTGAAATCGCTTGTTGATTCTTGAATTTCATTACAGATTGCAAAAACTCCAATGCCTGAAGTGTACCAAAATAAGATGGTGAGAATTTTACTCTATATAGTCAATAGCATTCATTCAAAGTCACGAAGCCCTCGTTCAAAGTTTCTAAATTGAACATATCGTGGTCGATAGGTTTGGATACTTTGCAATGACTGCGGAGCACAATGCCAAGTCCGGTTTCACATTGTGGCGCACAAATGCACAAGTTGCGAGTCCTATAACACACGACAGATGCGAGGCGGTCCTCCGGCCTCATGTTCGTCAGGGACGACCGAGGTCGTGAGATGACCGCTGCAGTCGATAGTTTTACACAGAGCAGCTCATCCTCTTTGAATAGAGTCGGGGCATGAGCAATGGATGAAGGTCTTCGAGACACCTACTATGGTTGTGCTATCTTGTAGAAGCTTTCCCGAAAAAGGGAATTCATTTTTTTGTGGCATCGAATCCTGTAATTTTTTTTCTTGCTGCTGTATGAGAAATTCTGATAATTTATACCAGATTTGTTTCTTGATCCATCGCATTTGTCCTTCTTCACTTTTGTACAAGCGGATCAGGCAGCCGGGTCGGAGTTAAGAACCGGTGCGAAAATGAGGCTAAGCAAATTAGTTATCTCTTTAACCATAGAAATTCAAACAATGGTCTTTGCTCAGGCATATGTTTAGCATACCTTGTGATTACGAGGCTGTCATTTTACGTTTGTGACATCGTATCACTAACCGGACAAGTCATTCGAGAACTCTGTATGATAAAAGCTATCTCTACCTAAGAAATCGAGCCGAACAAAATGAAGGGAAGAAAATAAGTTAGGCTATGTGGGGGAAGTTCCTGTAATCAGTTTTAGAATTTTCTTTTTCAGAATTTTCACTGTTATAAAGACTCATTATGAGTTAAAAAATTTTAGAGGGAACGCGAAAGAAAGAAGTGCCCAAAGTGTCTCGGGACAAACATTACCTGACTTCCCCCCAAAATTTGAAATTTATTCTTCAACTATTAAATTAGATAGTTAACCGCACGCGCATATATATATATATATATATATTGATTCATGTGTATCCGAACCATATTACAGAAAAACAAGAGGTAAAACAGACCCGAGTAAAGTTTATGAAGTTGAGATCTTGAGGAGGGCACTCGCGTTTTCAACGCATAATTTTATACCACATTAAAGAAAAAGTAAACCGTCCCTGACAAAAATGGCCTCGAACGTGGGATTGTCGCTGTCCAAAGCACCTTTTGGGTCAATTAGATGGCAGAGTGTTGTTTATGACCCAGGGCCCCCACATTGGTCTATTAAAACTAACATATTTTAAGTGCACAAAGAATCAATTTAAGGCCTTGTCTCTTCTCAAACTTCTCTCTCTCTGTCTCTCTCCTCTAACGGTGACCGCAGCACCGTCTTCCGTGAGTTCCTGAAAAGTAAAGTTTAGCCTAGCCTTCGTGCTTCGTAGATCCTTTTTTTTTTGGTCAATCTGGCCACTGTTACTGGTGGGACATCCTGATTTAGCAATAACTTCTCTATAGTACGGACTAGTTTGCAATGGTTTTGACCAGATAATTTCAGATTTTTCTCATCCCGGAGGACCAGGGTAAAGGAGTGGGATCCATGAACATTATACTTGGTATAACACGTGAAGATTGTAGCTATATGATCGGTATAACATGTAGAGCGAAAGAATGGGGGATACGAAGTGATCAAATCACTCCCACAGGCGTAGTAGGATAATGTTTGTGAGAAACAATTTGGATGTGCATCGCATCTCTGTCACTTCAAAGAAGACTCGGCATTAGAACAGAGAAGAAGCCGAAATTTGCTCTACTCCTAATGGAAGTTCGTTTCCTATGCCAACTCGAGTTTTCGGTTCCAAACATAAAGAAGAAGCTGAAATTTACTCAATGGCTCGAATGGCAAGCAGGACCCACCTTCTCAGTGGAATTCCCACTCAATCAAATATTCAATAACACTGTTGAGGCGACAGGGAACTCGAAGATGGCGCCCCAAAAGTTCACGGTTGACCCTCATGCACTAACACTACACTCGAGAAACCGAGGTGGTATTTTTTTTTTTTGGACTTTCCAAAGGACCTTTTCATATGGCAGGTGAGAGTCAACTCAATCACATAGGATCCTATTTTCCAGCACCCTTTTTGGTTTCCCACATGGTTTCATGTAAATGATGGAGATGTTTCAATGATTCTCCGCATCTAAACATGTTCATCCATGCACAAAACACCCCATTATGCATTTCATATCTAAACATCCTCATCCATGCACAGAACATTAAACGATGTATTTGCTTTTGTTGTGTAAGAGTCTCAAGACAAAACAGTTGTTCTCATTGGATTTGCAGGGAGGAACAGTCCCTAGGAGGTGATGCAGCACTGTGGAAGCACCGTAACTGAGGAAATGCCATAAAGAGAGAACCCACTTTCTATAAAGCTGAACCCAAAAAAATTTGCTCAACATGACCAGAACTTGTCCCCCCAATACACAAGAAACCTTTGTTCTCTCCTATTTTTTCTCAACTTTCCAGATGTACAGTATCATCAAGAGGACCCGCCAACTCATTTCGGGTTAGCATTCAAAATTCAAATGAAGCTTTTCCGAAAGTTTCACATGCTTCACACACAAGCAGAGACAATGTGGAAACAGTGCATCTTACCTTTCGATAATTGGTAAGTCTCTTTAACAGCTGCCAACCTCAATGTGAGAAGGTGCTTTAGATTGGATTATAACCCGAGCTCCTGATGCAAGCCTGTTTAACAAAACGTATGATAATTTCAACCAACATGAACGCACAGATCTACAACACGAGCAGTCACTGAAATTAGATGGAGGAGAACAAAGTTGAAACTTACCTTTCTTCGATTTTTATCACTTTCTCATCCTCCGGGAGGGAGTCTCTCTTTAATGGTGTGTTCCCTGGGGAAGGCTCGGTGATTCTTCTACTGCTACCGTTCGATGAGTTGGCAAATAATGCTCTGGAGCTATCTGCTCTGTCTGAAGAAATTCTTGGTTTATCGGAGAGAGGGGATCTCATAGACTCACTTCGAGGTTGTCTAGCTATTGAAGCTTTAATTGATAGGGGCATGCATTTTGACCGTCCATTCTCACTTTCCCCAGCCGAATCTAACTGCTTACCAGACCTGCAAGAGAAATCACACGTCCTATATTCATCTGAATTTAGGAACAAAAAGAACTTCTCTTCTCAATAAATATTGCCTTCGCAACTACTATGGCCCCATAACAATTGACATAAGCAAAGGAGATTGTCTACTGTCTAGAATCAGCCATCCTCATACAGAAATTTCTCTAGTCAAAGCTTTTACAAAGCCAAGGCCCCCCGAGAGTGGGAAAAACATGCTCTGTAAAATTTGCACCTTCAACACATTTACCATACAAAAATGGTGTTGAATTGTTAATTTACTTGACCAATTTATCAATCCCATTAAAGATGCAATGAGATTTGTGTTGCAAGCTGTGGTTGGTTCATCGTTCGCAGGGTCTCAGGTTCCAAAATAGTGCATACAAAAAGACACTGGTTTTTGCAATATGGCTTTACAAAACAAAGCACAAATACCCATTTTTTTTCTTTATTCACTTCGTACACATATACTAGGAAAAAGAACTAAATCTAGAAAAGAGAGCACCGCATAGGAAATCGGAGTTACCGGCCAGCATTGTAGGAAGAGGAACGCTTCAGAGAGCTCAGTACATCTCCATCCTCCCGGAGATACTTTGTCTCGATCAAGCTCCCACTGAAATACTCCTTGTCTTCCAGCCTTATGCCCATCAACCGTGGATTTTCTGATAAGCAGTCAAGCTCCCCCGTCATCAGTGATGTAGAAAACAAAGGAGATGGAAATTTTGAATGAGAAAATCTTGGCCTGTAAGTTGGGATTAAGCCAAAATTGTTATCTTTCACTGATATTGATCCACACGAGATTAATTGCATCAACATGTTGGTAGCCTTGAGCCTTGCATTGTTCGGCATTCGGATCTCTTCCTCTTCAAGAATTCTAAAGCTGTTCATCTTGCTAACATCAGATCTAATCAATGATTCCAGAGTTTCGGTCTTTCCAACAGATGAAGAAGCACTAGAAGATGTCGGAGGAGGGGAAACTGCACCACTAGATATCTCAGAGGTCTCTTTCACGCATGAGGCCTTGGTTTGGCAACTATCATTGCATTCACGTTCGGTGGCGCCATCATCAGTAGAGACTCCTCTAGTACAAGTTTCTCTGGTTTTATCTCTGCTTACATTTTCTTCAGTCTGAGTTGATGCATCAGCTAACCCCTCGTTCTTGTACACCTTGTACTCCGTCAAGCTCAAAGACCCATTCCAACTGGAGCCTTTTCCATTTCTTGACTGTGGGGAAACATCAGTGGAATCGGTGTGATGAACCGGAGAAGAATGGTCATCCTCTTGGGAGTGTTTTGCTTCTTTTCCATTCATGCTTGACGATGACGATGAATCATCTTGACTTCTAGAAGACGGTGGAGCTGGCAATTGCTTTAAATTCCTCATGCCGATATTCGCGACAGGACTGAAACGATCTGTGTAAAACATCATGGTGCAATAGCAACACAGGAAGTAAGCCAGCTTAGCCAGGTTTCTGCTCTCTTTTCTGCTTGCTAATAGTAGCCATACACAATTCACAAGCAAATGCAATTTCTACACCACATCTAAAGTCAGTAGCAAGGTCAAGCACAAAAAAGGCCAACATCTACTTCACCTGAATTAGATTCATCAAAGAGCTCCGAGCCTTTGAGGACGTATTCATGTCCATTAGATGGAAGAATCAAGTCGTCTTCACATAGATCGTGCCAAACGAAACCATTTTTGTAGCTTCTGCAATGATCAACGAATTGAATAATTCAGGCAGCATCACTTGTAGGATTTACCAAACAATTACCCAATAACACGACACGGACCCCCCGGATGATCAAAGACGAGATTCTTATGCAACGAGAAATCACCCATTAATGAGAGAAATTCGAACTGGTACCTCTTAGAGGACCACGAATACATGGATGCCATTCCTCTGCCTCGAAGAACATTCAGCCTATCAATCACATCTGCCAAAACGAAACCCGCATTCGCGACAAATGAAACACACTCCGCTACCGACGGAGAAGCGGGCACAGAAAACAAGAGAAAGAAAAGCAAAACGGGGCTCCCGCTTCGCTGTTACCTCGCAGGTAGAGCCCTTCGGGGGAAGAGACGGGCACCTCGATGAAATGAGGATGCTCGAGCTGGCGATTCCTGCAGAGATAGTAAACCACGGGCACCTTCCTGCTCTGAAAATACTTGGGCGACTTCTCCGTCCACACTTTCGCTCTCTCCGGGCTCACCTGCCGATACTTCTTCATCCTCGCCTCCATCCCTCCGCCGGAACCCGCGGCCAAGCCCTAGCGGTGCCCGCCCGTCCCCCGGCCAAAAGAAGAAAGAACAAGTCCGTATCCCCCGACTCCCCGAGCCGGCCGGCACAGCTCACAGTCCAGCACTCCTCCCGCAGGAAAACCCTAGATTACAGGGACCCAATCGACCAACCCTCCGATCAGTATCCGACCACCACAGAATCACGACCGCGAAGCAGGCGTTGACCGGGAGAGAACCGGGAACGGAGCCCGAATGCTCCGTGCGGAGGAGGAGGAGGGGCGGCGCCGCTCGCGGACGCGGCCACCGGAGCCTGGAGCCGCCGTCGCCGGCGATCGCCCGTTCAAGTGCGGGAGGGGGACGGATGGGGGCGTAGCGGAGCGAAAATGTATGGACGGGGGAGCGCGGGCGGGGGTGGAGGTGGGGACCAGAGAGAGAGAGAGAGAAGGAGAAGTCTCCGCGCGTTCAATCCGTCGCCGCGTCGTCGTTTTGCTCCGGGAAGAGCTGGAAGCTGCTCAGAGAGAGAGAGAGAGCGCGACAGGCGAAGGACGGAGGAGACGGGGACGAGAGAGGCGAGGAGGAGGAGGGGGAGAACGTGAAGAGAAGAGGTGGGGGCGTGCCTGTGTCGCCCCCTTATTTGCTAGGGCCTTTTGCTTTTGGCGGATTGCGCGGACTCTGGTCTCTTCAGGAAAAAAGAGGGAGGGCTTCGCTAGAAAGTTAATAAGTTGGTCACGTCGTTCTCCCCCCCTTTTGTTAAGCTTTTTCATTTAACGGTAATGGTATGGTATGGTATGGTTTGGTTTTGGTTTAGATCTTAGCTAGCTTTTAGGAGCTGCTGCTTCTTCTTCTTCTTCTTTTTCCTCTCTCTTTTCCATAGCTTTATTGATGTGTGCATTTGGCCAAAACATAATAATTACTAGAACGTGCGCTTTTAACTTGGGTGTGCCTTTTTGAGTTACTACTATATAACGGAAGCCTCGTCTCTCTTTTTTTTCTTTCTTTCTTTTTATTCGTTCATTTATAGAAATTCTCTTATTAATAAACGGAATAAAGAGACTCCGGACCGTGCCGCCGAACGCTTTCATCGCGTAATATGTTTTCGTCGGCAACCCTCGGTGTGAGCTTTGCTGCCGTGGCATGTGTAATATAAATGCAATGAGAGAACTAAGAATGATGAGCCTTGCGCGTGAAATGCAAGCGAGCCGTAAATTATTTGATTGATATAATCATATCAAATATTAAAACTTCTTTGGGGGTGATTGTAGCTTTGACCGAATTGATTCGGGGTGACGTCGGTTCTTTTCGAATCATACTTTTAGCCGTACTGGCAATTTCATCCGCTTCAATTTTCAAGAGATGTAGGAAGTAGACGTAGATAGGGTTTGATTGGGAATGAAAACCAACGAGTTCAAGTATCGATTACAAATTTGAGAATCGCATGGGAAAAGAAAAGGTGTGAGTTTGAGAACCAAACGGGTCCTTTTTGTGCCCTTTAAATTATTCGACCGTGGAGGATAGAACAAGAGAAGTACACGTGATCTAATTCTTGTTTGACTTAGCCTAGTAGAAAGAGGCTCGAGCACGATGACGAAAAGAGATAAAAAAAAAAAAACATATTTGTGCTACCAACCAAGACAAAGATCACCTTAAATGGTTGCGTTATCCCAAAGGTTCAGATAGGCGCAAGATGCACCATTATCATGTGCACTGCGTCTTCTCGTGCTGACAAGGAGGCAACTACTAGCGCTCTCTTATTGTCGTCGGCAAGTGCGTAGAACCACAAGGTAACCTATCGTGCTATCCTCAAGGTCCGTGTAGGTACAAAGATGTACCATTATCATGTGCCACACATTCCTTATGACTAGTCACCTTCGCATAGAGGCGACCATTAGCGCTCTCTTGTCATCGTCAAATAGAGCACAAAACCACAAGATAACCTACCGTGCTATCGTAGAGCTCCATATAGGTGCAAATAGACATGGCCACGGGTCGGTTTCAGCCCGGGTCAAACCCGGGACCGGCCCGTTGACCGGGCCCGCTGTTCGGAACCGGCGGTTCCGGGCCCGGTTCCAAAAAAAAAAAAACTGCAAATTTATTTTTCTCTCTTTTTTTTCCCAAATTTAATTACAATGTACATTTTGATTACATTTTATATTGAATAATTCATTATTTCATAATTTGATAATTCATTATTTTTTTATTTCATAATTTATTTTTAAAATTTTTACTGACCGGTTCCGAACCGGCCCGGAACCAGAACCGGCCCGAAACCGCCGGTTCATACATGGCCACGAACCGGAACCGCCGGTCCGAACCGTGGCCATGCCTAGGTGCAAAAATGTAGCATTATCATGTGCCACATGTTCCCTATGATGTGTCGTCCTCGCATAGAGGCAGCTATTAGCAGTCTTTCATCATCGTCAAAAACCACAAGGTAACCTCAAATGTTTTTGGGGACCAAGGACGCGGAACAATCTTGCGGTCCTACGTCGCCAAAAGCGGACAATTAGGGCGCGAATGACAACCATTCTGTTCCTGAAACAATTCCTGAAATAGAAATAGATTTTTATATTTCTGTTTCCAGGACGAGTTTCTGATAAAAGAAACCCATTTGATAATCACCAAAAATTTCTATTTCTGGAACAGAAATCCGTTGATAACAGCATAAAATTTCTATTTCCTGGAACAGAAACCCGTTTGATAACAACACAAATTTCTATTTCTCGGAACAGAAATCCATTTTTTTAGAACCCCTTTTGGGAGTTAAACCCCTGTTAAGGTTTTTTAGGGGTTAAAACTCCTTTTAAATCCCTAAACTAAGGAGTTTTCAAAAATACCATTTGGGTAACTCAAAAAATTTAAATTTCACTCAAAATGGGTGGCCACAAGTATTCTAAGCCATCCTGTGAAGTTTTGAAATTTTTAAATTTTTTTTTGAAAAAATTCACCAAATTTCCTATTTTCCCGAAATATGACTTTTTTTATTTTCTGGAAATTTTTATGAATTTTTCTGGAATTTTTCAATTTTATGGATTCTTTGAAATATTTTTTGAGATTTGTAGAAATTTTCGGGATTTTCTAATTTTTTTTTATGAATTTTCTAATTTTTTTAGAAATTTTTTTATTTTCCCACCAGGAATGAACCGGACTGGACTGGTTCGAATCGGTCTGACCAAGTTAGACCAGGGCCAAATTTAGGAAGAGATGTGTTTTGAAGAGAGAAGATAGGTTCTTTTAAAAATGGTTTTCATTTCTTGTCCAGAAATAGAAAACCTACTTTTTTTTTGTTATGATTTTTGGTCCAGAATCAGTTCTAGAACAAAAAGTTGTTCCAGAAATAGAAAAATGAAATTGCGTTACCAAACGGGTTTCTGTTCCAAACCTATTTTCGGGAACAGAAAACTAGTTCTGAACAGAAACAAAATGGTTATTATTCGCGCCCTTAGTCGGAACGCTTATTCAAGTTTTGGCTCGCATCTTCTGCGGCCGATGAGATGTAAGTTATTTCAAATGTTTAGAATTTACCTATATAAGATAGTTTTTGTGTCCTGAAAAAAAAAGTGGAGATTGGTTTAAACAAATATTTCATACAAGGAATGAATGTACATGGGTGGGTTTGAGTACCTTCTTTTGAGGCCACATTATTTGGCTCAACAAGCCACACCCCAACTCATCATAAGCTTGCGTAGCCACTCAAGATTTTTATTTTTAATTATCGTTGACAATCATGATTAGTTGGAACGAGCTAATTGAACGCGCGATGATTTCGTTTTGATCGTCGTGATGCCTTATCGACGTGAAATCAGGCTATTACATAGAACCAACCACGAAACATTCGATCGCGCTAAATCCCGATCTCTCTCTCTTTGTCACGTGGATAAGAGACGGATAACATGTCGCGGATTCGAGGCTCATAGGGCACGGGTTCAATTGCCTGTAGGGAATGGCAAAGAGATAGCCAACGTTCATGCGATCAAGCCGGACCGAAACTGATGGGTCGAATTGCTCATTTTTTATTTCGCCGTTAGTTTGTGCTCTAGCATTCTAATTTTCTGCCGCGCATAAAAACTCCCCTTAACGGATGGGTCGACGTTTTTAAAATTTTCCTTTTGGCTAAGAAAAAAAGTTAAAAAAAAAAACAACATGATAGTCTTCGGTTAGAATAAAGTAAGACTTTCCTATGGGATGAAAAAAAAACGAAATTTCTAACTACCTTTGTTCCACGAAAAATGAATTATCTGGAAAGCATTTTCTTTAAAATGATTAACTTGTATCACTTAAAATAATTAACCAATGAAAAACGTTTTCACCATCAATAATAATTTATGTCTAAATATCTTTACGTAGGATGGAAATATTTTTCATTCGTTCAATTTTGTAATTGATATAAAACAACTATATTTTAACAAGATTTTTTTTCAAATTATTCATTTTCTGCTAAATAAATAGAGCCGAAACTCGATGAATTTGACGATTGGTATGTTTTTGATAGTTAGAAGAAAATATGATTTTCAAGAAAATAAGAAAGACGAGAAATTGACTCAATGATAAGTAGTAGCCTAGTAGGATCCTACGCTACATTGCCAGCTTGGAGTGTTTGCTGGTCGGGCTTCGTGGCCTCGGGGGCCTATTGCATTAAGTCAGACTCATGCGCCTTGTCTCTAGAGTAGTTCCATTCGTAGTATAGTCATTAATCGAGAGAGAGCCGAGCAAGGAATTTTATTTGGCATAAGATCATTAGAAATGCCGGAAGTTTTCGCCGGCTCGCTTAAGTGTCAAATTAGAGAAAAAACGAGTGCCTCGGACGAGAAATTCTAGCAAAAAATATTACGTGAATCTTATAATAAAAAATTTAATATGATTTGGCGTTTTTATATTAAAAGTGAGTCCATGTGGCAAAGCGGCTAGCCATACTTCCCTAAAAATGACGACGCCCAGCAGCTGCTAGGAGATGATTTCGACAATTGTCGCCATGAATATCGCAAGTAGCTGCCAAGCGTTCCTCGAGACGCCCGCTGGGATGGGGATGAACCAGAGGATGGCCTTGGTGGTGATGGAGGCAAGGAGAGGCGTCATGGCCGCGCCCTGCTATGGCTGCAAATTCCGAGATGAGCTTATTTTGTAACAATAAGACGGTCATCGATATTTCTCATAGTCCAATCCAGCAAGATCGTACTAAACACATCGAGGTAGATCAACATTTCATCAAACAAGACCTTGATGCCAAGATAGTTCAATTCCCGTTTGTTAAATCTAAAGACCAACCGTGGATATACTCCCAAAGGCCGTCTCTAGCAACA